TGAACAGGTAGAAATATTTCCACTCGTTGATTAGTGTCATCTTGAAAATACCTGAATTTGTCATTCGAAGGAAAAATAAATTGGGGCCTAAAGAACTAAGACTAAACTTAAAAGTTACTTTTTAGTTTTTTCCACGCGATATTTTTGAGCTTTTTCAAAGGCTAGCTTTTGAAGGTTTTTAATTCTAGAACTTACTATAGTACTTCTGCTATTTTGAAGCTTAGCCAAGCATGTTCTTATTTTGTACGCTATACACGAGTCTGCAAAACTACTATTGATCATTTCAAACCCAACTCATTCCAACAGTGGCATTTCATTTTCTATTACATTATAGTTGGTTGTTAGAACAGGCCAGAGTCGAAGTTGAGAATTGTGCTTACACTATGAAAGAACTTATGGAATATACATAAAAATCTCTCAACAGAAACTTTTTATAGTTTATTTCTGAGTTATGACCTTCCATATTGTCAGACACTTGGATCATAATGAAAATTTCCTCTATGAATGACCTGTGTAGAGATTAAAAACATATCAAGGATTCATTGACATGAGCGGCCTTTCCCAACAATCATTGATCATAAAAACGCCAAAGCATCATAAACAGTACATTATTCCAGGTAATCATGTTCTTCTCTGGTTGCCTTACATGAGGTTTGCAACATGCCTTGGGACGATTAAAAAGTCAACTTGCCAAACATGTTTAAGGCTTTCATATGTTACTTTTTTGAACTTTCAGCTACTACTAATACGTCTTTACTTAATGTCAAGAAATGGAATTCTACCTTTATTAAGCCCTTGTTTGAGTCCCATTAATTTTCATTTCATTATATTTTATTTTTCTCTCTCCTATTTTCAACCACACAATATTCCATAAAATAATATTACACGTAAATCGAAAACATTTCATTCTTTTTCAATCACTCATTTTTCAAAAAAACACTATTCTACCCATTAATTTTTCCACGTAAAGTTTAGGCTAGGGGTGGGCGCGGGTCGGTTCGGTTCGGTTCTCTTTAGAACCGAATCGAACCAAACTTTTCGGGTATCTAGTAAATAGAACCGTCGGGTCCAAATATAATTATGGAACCGTTCGGGTTCGGTTCCATTCGGTTCGGATCGGTTCGGTTCCTTTCGATTCTGTACTATAATTAAATTTTTTAACATTTATAACAACATTATATAAATACGACTAATGAAACATTCAATAGTTTTGGAATGTCAGAGATTAGTAAACTACCTTATTCAAATGATCGCTACGATCAAAGCTTCAGTCGGGGAAAGTCACGGCTTCGATCGGAGGTCAGAGTGTCGGCCGACGATTGTATAGGTTTTGAAATATTAGATAGGCTGCGAGAGTGAGTGCAAGAGTCGAGACAACGTTATGCACTTTATTGTAGGTGTTTAGGGTTATTTAGTGGATTTGATCTTGTTTGGCTAAGAAATGAAACAATAAAATGGGTAATTGGGCCAAAAATTTGGATTTAGAAATCATTAATTTGTTAATTTGTTTAGAAAAAATTAAAATTAAAATAATTTGATTTACTCAATATAAAAAAAATTAGAAAGATTCGGTTCTTATTCGGTTCTTCGGTTCTTGGTCTAGAACCGAAAATCGAACCGTACCCGTCGGTTCTCAATTCAGATACCCGTTCGGGTATTTAATTTGACAAGAACCGTCGGGTTCGGATCGGTTCGGTTCGGGTTCGGTTCGGTTCGGGAGATTTGCCCAGCCCTAGTTTAGGCGCTTAGCCAAACATGTTTGATTCTCTTCTATTTTATCATTAATGACAAATTTGAACGAATAAAAGACTTCATTTGCTCGCTGGCACTTTTTTTTCATTCAGGAGGGGAAATTTTGCTCGGTGGCAAATCAAAGCCCATTTATAAAAATTGCATCTCGTGTTCTGGGGAGTGGGACGATCTGCACCAACCCAAACGAGGTAATTAGTAGAGCTGTATTTGTGTTTCAAATGCAACAATGTAATTAGGCCCTGTTTTGAGACCCATTTTTTAGAACTTATTTTTCTTCAAACTCATTCTCAATAATTCATCTTTTTAATAAAATAATTTTGCACACAAATCTAAAATTTTTTACTATTTTTTAACTGCACATTCTCATAAAAAATAAAAAATCACTTTTTATAAAATCAATTCCCAAGAAATGGGGCTCGAACATGGGCTAAATTTTCTAGAAAAGGGCAGTTTGTATTAGTATTGTTCATTGCTCTTGTTTTATCCATTCATTGATTTATTTTTCTGTGATATCTTTTCCATTCATGTTTTTTTTTTTTTTTTTTTTTTTTTTTTTTTTTTTTTGTGATATCTTTTTCATTGCATCCCTCGAACAGCTTACTATTTTTAAACTATATTAATAAGCCGTATGATCTCATTTATTACGAAGTAAAACATTCTCCATTCATTGCCAAGTTCTGTTCCCCCCTCTTTTATTTGGAAAATACATGAAAAGGACCTAAATAAAAGGTTACTTTTTCATTTTGGCCTTTGACCAATTCAATTAATAAAAAGTACCTAAAATACCGTAATTTAAATATTTCATACAAATTACTACAATATAAAAAATCTTTCATTCTAGTCCTTAAAATTAACCATTACTTGAATTTAGATAGATTTATTACTTATACAGATTTATTTGATTTTTGCTAGCTCAAAGTAGCACCCCTCCTACAAAATTTGGTATCAGAGCCAGATGAAATAAAAATAATATAAGAAAATCAGCTAATAAAATTAAGATGTGAAAAATTAAGACTACAAAGGAAATTTTTTAAGATAATAAAAGAAGAATTAGTAAATACAAATCTAGCTAAAGAAAGTTTTGGAAAAATAATAGAAGAAAAAGAAGATAAAAGAGGTAAATTAACTTATATGTTAGAAAGATTATTAGAAAAATTTAATATGTCAATAAGTGAATATATAGAAGAATTAAAATTATTAATAAAAATGTTAATAAAAAATAGATAAAAAAATTTATAGAGAAGGAAATGATCTGAATAGGAAAGAAACATATTGAAAAAGAAAATATAGTGATAGAAACAGAGAGTATGGATGATGAATTTTGAAAAAACATATTACCTATAATATTAGAAGAAGAAGAATTCAGAGAAAAAATTTTAGGAAAATTAAAAATAGAAGAAAAAAAGAAAATAAATATGAATGGGGAATTAGATTTATTTATAGAAAATTTTGATCAATTAAGTTTAGATGATATAAGTGAATAATAAGTTTTAATGAATATTGGAAGAGAACCTAATCTAATAGGAACTTCTAAACAAGAATTACAAGAATCAGATGAAAGTTATGCACTTATATATAATAAATCAAATAGACAATCTTATGATAAAGTAAGAGATAGACAACCACTTAAAGGAAATAAATATAGAGATATGTTTGAATTAAATGATAATTATGATAAACCTATTAACAATGGAGGAACAAAATTAGATTTAAATTGTAAAATAGATAATAAAAAAACTTTATTGATTTGGTCAGATTCAATGATATTATTCTTTTTATACAATAAAGATGATACGTGAGAAAATACTGAAAGAAGAATAGATTTCTTAATAGCATCATTTGAATGAGATGTTAGAAATTGGTAGGAAGGAATAAGTAATGATACAAAAATATTAATCAAAAGAAATGTACAAACAGAAATAAAAGAATCAGATAAAAAAAAGGTATAGAAAAGTTAGTAGAATATATTTCAGATGCATTTTTAGGAGAAAAATGGATAAAAAATGCTAAAGGAGAATTAATAAGAGAAAAAGATAATGCCAGAATTAAATTATAAGAAAAATAAAAGCCAATGTAAATGTTGGATTTGTGGGGAAATAGGTTATATAAGCTCCGATTGTGATAAAAAGAAAGTTAAAATATTAAAAAAAGAATATTTGGAAATAAAAGATGAATTAAGTGAAATATCAGATATTGAACAATATTATAATCAAGAAGCATATATAAGTGGAACAGAGGATAATGAATCAGGATCTGAATAAAGAAATAGAGGAAATAGAAAATAATAATATAAATAAACAAGAATATGAATGAATAGAATGTTATATATTAAAAGTCGCATTTGATAATAACAAATTTAGGAAAATGCAAAAACTATCTTTAGATTTAAAAATAGGAAAATGAGAAGTCTTAGATAGAATTTGGAAAAGAGAGAAAATAGTAATAAATGAATATCATAAAATTGAGAAAACTATAGATGTAAGAACAACTTATGAAAAACATAAATTAAATATTTTAACAAAAAATACAGTTGAAGAACTATTAACAAAGATTAATAAAAAACAAAGTGAAAAAAATCCAATATGTTTATTTAGCAGGAATACAAATAATGTTTTAATCATTATTCAGAGAATGAATAGACCCACCCTTAACTATAACGTTGCATGATGGAAGAATAATAAATCTAAAACATAGTCATTTAGGAACAATAGAAGGAAATTTGACATATAAAAAAAATAATGTTTACATGCTACCAAAATATTGTGTCTCATTAAAAATAAAAACTTTAATGAAATTTTAGGATTACATTTTAAGCTACATAAAGATTATATCATACAACTAGGTGATCAAATTATGACTATAGAATATAGAGCTTTATGCACATTTACCAATTATAATTATGGAAATATTTATTCCAATAAACCATATCTTGAAGTATATAAAGAATGTAAGGATATTAGCAAAATAATAGAACCAAATAAACAGATAAGTTTAATTCCAAAAGAATATGAATTTAGTATAACAAAAAATAAATATGAAATAACATAATCAAATGAAGAGGAGTACTCTAATAATATAACATTTAAAAATGGAAAATCGATTAAAAGGTCAAAAAGTCTTAGAGTACCTAATAAAAACCAGTCAGAAGAATTTAGTAATATAAGAGAAATAAAACTTTACATAAATGCTGGAAATATGAAAATAGAAGGAGAATATTTTAATGGAAGAGAATATATAAATGGAACAAACATACTAATAGATACATGAGCTAGCAAATGTCATACAGCTTCAATCAAAAATAAAGGTTTAATAACTCATAAAACTGAACCATATAGATATGTAAATTTTGATGGACAAGTACATATTACAAAATTAGAAATAAAAGTACCAATAAAAATAAGAGAAATAAACATTTTAGTACCATGTTATATAAATAGGAGTATGAATATAAATCCTCATATACTTTTAGGAATGAATTTTCTGAATGGATTAGAAGATTATAATATAAAAAAAGAAGGATTATACATGGTTCATAATGGACAAACTATATTATACAAAAAGAATTAAATGAATAATCAGATAAGTTTTCCATTAACTATATATATATATAAGTTACTATTATAGAAACAAACATAACAATCTGTGCTAGATATAAAAAAGCTCGGAAATGAGTTTTCCAAATCAATACCAAACAAGAACAGCTGGAAGTAACAGTGGACCTAGACGTGACACCATACCAACTGATAAAAAAGGAGATTCGATTCTAGTAACATTAACTAAAAAAATGATGATACATGGAAATAAAAATGATTTCAAAACTATCAGTATCATAGATCAAGATGATATGATCCTTTTAGATCCAAAAGAAGAAGAATATGCCAAAATAGTTAGGATTGTTTATGTAATAAAAATAAGTGATTCATATTTCATCTCTCCATGAAATAATGTTTATCCTAGAGTGAAAGCCATGGAAGGACGAGACCCTTCATTCATAAAGATAATTGCAGACTATAGACTTCTGGATTTAATATATCTAGGAAAGAATTTGATTGAAATATCAAAATTTGATGATATGTTCATAAAAAAAATATCAAAATTAGTCAAAGGACGAAGAATATATCTGAAAGTTTATTCAATAAGTCCTAAATATGATGAAATTGTTTATTATCCAGTTGAACATATAATATCAATTGGGTATGTATCAGCCAATTTCCAAATAGATGTTATGGAGAATGATAAAAAAGCTCCATTGGTAACGAAGTCATGGATCAAGCATAGAAGAACACTTGGAATCAAAACTATATACAATATTGTCAAAAATTTGTATGATAAAAAATTCTCATGTTTATGTCAATCTGAAAATTGGATGCTAGTTACAAATAGAGGACGTGGAAAATCAGAAATTTTGAAGGACTACATTATAAAATTCGACATACATCAATTTCCAGGATATCCTACCATTATCAAGGAATTTTGTTAGCTAAGAGATTGTCCCCACCTGCATGTAAAGACACAAAGATAAAATGACAATAATAGAAATGAAGATGTTCCTTTGATAAAAACAGAAGTTGCATGTGAAGATGCAGATCCAAGAAGGACAATAATAGAAAGGCAAGTGTGCCTTTTAATATTGCTGATGTGTGCAATGATGTAAATAAATTAATAATTGAGGTCCAAATGTATGTATAAATGGAGGTATTAGGAAAGAAATGGAATATCTCGAGTTGCAGTTGAGAGTAAATATCTATTTTCAAGCTATCATCAATTCAAAACCAGTTTTTCTGGAAAGCCTTTTGTACCAAATAGAAGTTTTGTACAAATTTTTATAGAAATAAAATTCCAATATTTTGATATCAATGAGTTTCTAAATCTTTATTCACATAAATGCTTGAAGGATCTAATGGAAAGTTTATTTCTTATTTTAGCAAAAGGAGAGTTTTTCTTTAATAAAATTTTAGATATATATTCTTTAGAAATAATACAGTAAGAGTAAGAAGTTGAAATAGTAAAGATTCTATGAAGGCAAGAGGCCGTTGAAGGAAACAGTTTACATATTCAGAATTCGAAGATTACTCAGTTCTAAGAACAAGGTCCAGATCAAAACTAAGGTAAGACTATTAATTTTTGCTAAAATTAGAATGAATCTTTTTAAAATCTTAGAGAATTGTGGGGATTATATATGATTGAATTTCAGGGTATACAATTAAATGATTAGATAATTTATTAGAAAGAATGTTAGAAGAAATAAAAAATATTATTTCTCAATTAAAAAATATAAATATATCTTCTGAATAATATAATATACTTAATAAAAAATATGAACAATATGTTGCAGAATATTCCAATATATTAGATCATAGAATGAACCTATATGCTGAAATTCAGAATAAAATAAGTATAAGATAAAAATAGTTTAAAAGGTCGGGGTATATATTGCAAAATAAGAAGAATCATTTTATTAAGGACAATATAGACTTTTCTATGAATAAATTAAAAAGAAATAAAATCCGACCAAATAGAAAAATCTTCCCTTTTATTTACGCCACTAGCCACTACTGTTGATTTACTAAGATTCCAAGGCGGTAAATGAAATTGAAAAACTTATTTCATCTTCTTAATGCTTTCCACTAAAAACCATTCATCCAATTTTATACGCGACACTAAACATTATCTAGTAGATGTTTTTACTTTTTAGCACATCAATTTTTGCAGTAACGTTTTTGGCAGATAATGTTTTTGCTAAAGCTTTTCAAGCTGCAACGCTAAAATCGCATCCACAATTCTCGAGGTACATTTTGATATTAAGATTATTAGATTATTCTATCTTTACGTAGAAATCTATCTGACTATCCGAGTTTTGATGTAGAAAAGGGCAGTTGAGGCAACCTTTAACTGAATCTTCTCCAAGTTCTCTTACCTTTTCATTCACGAGAATTGAATCTATCAAAACTGGTTTGTATCTATAGACTGATTTCTAAGCTGAAAATATTTGGTAATGTTACTTAGCACTGTTACTGATTACATTTAATTTAATTCAGGAAAACGCTCGGTTTCACCACTTCGTTTCGCATTTAATCGTTCTGGATCCATTACCAGTAGATCATATTCTTTGAGCTCTAGGAGTGATAAACAGTGGGTAAGCACGAATGTTTTAAATTTGCTGAATTAAGTGATTGATAAATTATTTGCACGTGTTTGACAAGAAGAATTGGAAAGCACTAACTAGTATTACTGAAGATAACAAAGCTAAAATCTTGTCAAGCATCTGTTTGATTCCCTTTAGTTTATTTCTCATATTCATTATCAACTACATATTTACACAATAAAATATTTTATACGGTCCTCACGAGCATGGCACATTGATAAAGGAAGAGGATTCTCTACGGAGTATCGGAGGTTTGAATCCCCCGGCAGCTGGAAGGCAATATTTATATTGGAAGGTAGATGTCCTATGGAGACAAAGTTATGATGGGCTTTGTTGCTCCTTCTGAGGTCCTGTCCGCACTTTGTAAAGGGAGATTTATAGAGGGGAGAACCGCATCTTGAATATTTGGCCTAAGTGTATATAAGTTGTGGCCATATCGGGATTTACCCGAGTGACAAATCGGAGAGGAAGGCCGCCGTTCCTCAATATTAGTCGTGCGAAACTCGGACACCTGAGTCATCAAAAATAAAAAATAAATATTCTACACGTAAATCCAAAATTTTTCTTTACTTTTTAACTCCATATTCTTCAAAAAAATACCATTCAAAACTAAGGGGGTTTTTGAGCCACATTATTTTGGTAATAATGCATTCTTGAATAGTGTATTGACGGGAAATATGTGGTTAAAAAATAAGAAAATGTTTTTGATCTGCGTGTAATATTATTTTATTGAAAAATGTGTGATTGAAATGATGTAAATCACTGTTTAAAAATGTATTTTTTTGAAATAATGTAGCTCAAACAGGCCCTAAGTTTTTTAAAATTTAAGGGCACCAAGCAATGGCTAATTATACTCTCATATACTTATTACATTCTAATAGTAACAGCGGAATTCTTCTTGTGCTATTACAGTGTCCAGCAGCGCCTCGAAGGGCGATTTCAATGTCCATAAAACCCGAGACAAATAGAGGAACAGAAATCGATCAGTATTCAAAAAAAAGTAAGCATCTCTTCAAAGCCCTGCTTAGCATTCACCGGTTTAGAAAAGAAACCGTACCAAACAAATATAGCGACGACAGATAAAGGATTGTTTTGCCAAAGTTTATAGCAGGAGGCTGAGAATATATATGCTTCTGATTCTGCTTTTGTTTTACAAACAATGGACTGTACTTTACACGCCAATATGAAAGTAATTCCCTTAGATTCACGTCGTCTTTGTTTAAAGCTTTGTATATAAATATAAATAATACAATTGTTTGCAATTTATGGACAATGAAACTTGGCTTTTTCCCCCCTTATATGTGTTTAACTTACGTAGTAGTGACGCATGAAGTAAAATAATCAGTGTTCTAAATAGTGGAAAGCTTGGTTAGATGAAAAGATCAAACTTCAAATTTTTATGAGCTTAGTTGAAGTAAGACGACAAAGGGTATCAAATTTTACCTTTCTATTTTATTAACAAGGGTGCTAGCTTCAACCTCGTTATAGAGTGACCGTCGAAAACCTTTTTGAGCCGGTGTACTGGATATAAATAACTTTTTGAAAGCGACATTCTTGAAAAAATTATCTTAGATAAGATCGTGCTTTCTAGGACTTGGAACGATAACACATATATGAATGACTTAAGTCAATTCGGACCCAAATCAGTTTTGATTCCTTTTTATTAAACATAAACTAAATTCAATCCGTAATCAATGTGGAGCAGCATATTATTATTTTGGAGAAAAATACCTCCATTGAGCAAAAGAAATTAAAGAGGTCAAAATGGTATTTCCCTAATATTTTCCACTTATTATATGTCGTCGTTTTGAATCTTCCCAGTGTGTGTATTCTATTCAATGGAACGAAAAATGTTTTTATCTTTCCCATTGTTATTGAGGCTCAGCACAGAAATCTATAATTATCAACGTTCGAAGATGACGGAGGTGGGAGTTCGATGGTTCATGAGGTCATAGGGCGCCGCATCACGGACGTCGACCAGCCAATCGTTAACTATATCATCAACGTCGACGGAGAGGACTTCGATTTCGGTGTCGACGGCGAAGGTGCCTTTGAAGCTCTAGGCGAACTCCTTGTCGACTCTGGCTGCGTCACCGACGACTCTGAATGTTGTTCAGTACGTGTTGATTGAAGAAGTCTTCCATTAGTTCAATAGCACTCCTACTTGCATTTTAAATTAGACTTCTTTGGTTTCCGAATTTGCTTGCAATTGGAATTTATCCTTCAATTTGCTGGTTTTAGGGTTCTAAAAGGCGTTTATTCGTGAAATAAAAACTTAGGGTGTTGCCGATTGCAAGCATGAAATTTACAAAGAAGTAGAACAAATTCTAGGCAATTTCCTATAATTATTTGCATGAAAATTGTTAATTGAATGTATTTGATTTATTTAATTTTCAATCTAAAAGTATTATATTTGTCCTTTTTTTTATTGGTGGATAGACTATCGGAAGTAGACGAGAGAGGGAGAATTATCTTAAAAATAAAAATTTACTCCCATAAAAAATTTTTGTTTTCAAGGAAAATATTATCTCGTGACCAAAATAAGAAAGTATTTTTCATGGAAAAAATCAATCAAATAACACAAAAGTAGAAATTTGGATGGAAAAATGACATTTTCTATGTAAAATATTGACACCCTGCATTTGATTGAAAATTGTCAATTAAATGTGTTTGATTGATTTTATTTTCAACCTAGAAGATGTTATATTTGTCCATTTCTTATTGGTGACGAGAGACAAGGAGACTGAATGACTTGGAAAATAAAAACCTACTTCCCTAGAGAAAGTCACGTGACCAAAAGTATGAAAATATTTTCTCTTGAAAAAAATATCAATCAAACAGTACAAAAGTAGGAATTTGGGTGGAAAAATGATATTTTTCATGGAAAATATAAAAATATTGGCAATCAAACACACTTTTAATTCTAATTGAAAGCTCTATTGAGGAAAATATTATTAAACTGTTAACCTTTTTTCTTATTTTTCAGTGTTGCAGTTATAATGTTGAACTTCAGCAATCTCTTTATTTAGTTAGCATAACTGTAGCAAAACAAAATAAAAAGAAGAATAAGGCAATATCTAATATCAGAAAACTTATTCTTATTGCTGGTGAAAGATTTATTTCAATGTTATAGTTTATAATGTCTTCAAACCTATTTGTTAAATTTGCTCAGGTGGATATTGCAGAAAGATTAACACAATTGAATAAAAGAGGTGGTGGTATAATTATTTCTCTTGCTATATTGGATGTGGAATATAATAATTTCTGTGAAATTTCATGACAGGTGTGTAGTAAAATCTCAGAAAAATTTGGGAAGCATGGGTTTGTGGAAGCAAAACCAACAGTAAGAAGTCTTTTGGCACCATTGAGAATGTATGATGGAATGGATGAAGAGGAAGCTCCAAAAAAGAAGCCAGAGCCAGTGGATGGTCCTTTATTGACTGAGTGTGACGAGATGAAGCTTGAAAGGAGGAAGAGGGAAGAGGATCGCCAGAGAGAGGTAAGAGAAAAAAGAATCTATTTTTTATTATTATGTGAGTTTAATAGTGTCATTAAAGGTCAAATGATTATGTGAGCGAATATGGCTGCGACATTTACATGCTTTCCTAATGATAGTTTCTATGTTACATATATGGTGTAGGTAATACAAAAGATAAATATTCAGAATAGGAGTTGACCTAAACATCTTTTATTTATATGCACTTTTTTTATGTCATAATTCGTACTATGCCTATGCAAGTCCCTCTCTTTGTTAGAACAAGATGTCTCAGGTAATAGCAATAATAGGATCTTTTTACATATATGTATATTGTACATTAATATAGATAGTCGTTCTGTACTTCTGTTCATGTCTTTTTACTTCTTTATTTTGTTGCATTTCTCTCTTTTTTGCATGTGCGTGGACCAAGGATGTTTTCGTTGTGGCGTGGGGGGATTGGAGGAATTGTTGACAGGGATTGGTCCCATTTTTGTATGGTTTCTTATTAGTTCTTGTATGATTGTACAGGCACAATACCAAAACCACTTAGAGGAGATGGAGGCAGTCAAAGCTCGAATGCCTGCTGTACGTGTAAATCATGATAATAGTGATGCACCGGCTGTTAGAGATATTCACATGGAGAATTTTAATATACAGTTGGGGGTGTGATCTAATTGTCGATGGTTGCGTGACTTTATCTTATGGAAGGCACTACGGTTTTTTTAATTTTTTACTTTAGCAATGATCTAGAAGTTCACCTAGTGTGTGTGTGTGTTGGTCTACACACAAACATTCACACATATTGAAACAAATTTTTTTTCCCTTCTTTGAAGCCTTTTCTTGTCCATACATTTATGTTCTGTGTATTTATTACGTAGAGGATTCATTGATAAATGTGATGCTTATTTGCTTTTCTATTGTGGGAACACGTTTATAGTTACATTTATATTTACATTGACATCAGACAGACTTTACATACTTCATGTTACACTTGACTTGCATATTTTTAAACAAGTACTTGTCATGGAAGCAAGTTTATTGTTTAAAATATACTTAACTACGTTTGCCCAATGACAACAAGAAGCTAAGCTTATTCCTAATAAGTATATGGTGTTAGATATAATGAAAATAAAAATTTTGCAACTACATTACACTGATAAATATTAATTGGCATACAAAGTTGTGGGATTACAATTAAAATTCTTAGAGAGTCATTCACTGTTATCTGCTTGTAGGCCTTGTTGGAAGGAATGGTACAGGTAAAACAACCTTCCTCAGGTACATGGCCTTGCATGCCATTGACGGCATCCCAAAGAATTGCCAAATATTACACTTGGAGCAAGAAGTGGTTGGTCATGATACAACAGCTTTGCAATGTGTTCTAAATTCTGATTTTGAAAGAACCCAGCTTTTGGAAGAAGAAGTTCACCTGCTTGCGTTACAGGTTGATACATCCTCTTTCAAATTATGAAGTTTAATCCATTGCAACACTTGTTATTCCATTTGCCTTTACTTTCTTTCTGCAATGAATCCATGCTCTTCTAAAATCTTGTATTGAATGTAAACTATTCTTTAGAGAGAAATGGACCTAGAGGGGGAAGCTGGAAAGAGCAGTGGGGAGCTGAATATAGGGGTTGACAAAATTGCCATTGCACAGAGGCTTGAAGAGATATACAAAAGACTCGAGTTTATGGATGCTTACTCTGCAGAAATAGCCAAATAGGAGGTAATGTTAAATAAAGAAAGAAAAAGGTACACCAAGCAAGAAGGCAGGGGCGGACCCACAGTGGGTCCTGGTGGGTCACGTGACCCACCAAGTTTGGTTTTTTTTTTTTTTTGTTAATAAAATCGTATTCATCAGAACTAGAAGAGTCTATCCCATTCCAAATTGCAGTCGAAATATGAGGAGGAAAACCAACAGTCCCTCCGTAATGTTCGTCTCGCTTGAACCCTTCCCTAATCCTCCTCTTGACTTGAGTGTTGCCGGCGATTGGAGACTCAAAGTCATCCACCAATCCATCCACCATCCGCTGCGGGCCTGTTGCTGCCGAATCAGTCGAGTGGTGCTGCTCCCGTTTCAGTGGAATTGACGAGTTCTGCCACTGTCGATTCAGTCATTTGCCATCCGCCATCGTCCAGATGTTGACAGTTGTCGCCACCTGTCCACCGTCCATTGCTATAGTCGTCCCCTTCCCAAATCCTAAGGACCCAAGGTTAGTCACAGAGTTTACAGGTCTTTACTCTCATTTGTGTTTAGATTTTAACTTACATAAACATTACATCTCCCGATCTCCGGACTCCCGTCATGACAATTAGCTATGGCAGTGTGGGAAAGTGAAATTTGAACTAAAGATTTATTTTGTGATTTAGGAATCTATCTGAATTTGTTGAACAAGATATATAAATGTTAGGGATTGAATTTCTTGGAGCAAATCTGACAATATTATTTGTGAATGTGTTGAACTAGCAAAATAGGTATGTAAATGCTAGGGAATAGGGATTGATTGTTTGAATTTTGTTTGGGAACTGGAAATTTCATCAAAAATTAAAAATAAAGATAGCATTATTCGGCAATTGTCAAATTGATTTGCTTAAAACTTTAGGCAATTGTGAAATTCATTTTGTGATTATTGATAGAAGGATTGTTTTTTTCTCTTGAATTGAGTGTTTTATTTTGGTTGATTGTTGTAGCAGTTATGGAAAAGTACTTTGAGCATAAATCTGCATTTTCTTGTGATATGCAAAATGTTAATGAAAGGAATATTCAAAATGAAAAGGCTGAAATGAATGCTGGG